TCTGTCTCCACGCTGTTGTCGCGCTGTGATGACATCACGTACGCGCTTTCGTCGAGCGCGCTTTAGTCTACCGCGGATTTGTGGTGGAACCGGGCGTGGCAGGGGAAGGATACTGTAAAATCCCCATTCCCTCCCAATCAGCTGGGACTCAGGAGGCAGAGAATAGATGGGAGTGGAGCCAGTCAGAATTGGTATTTACCGGTTCTCCGAACTACTCAAAATTTCCGCTACCGGTTCTCCAGAACTGGTCAGAAGCTGCTAAATACCACCTCTGAGCCCCTGCCTTTGCTAAATAAATCCTCTTTCACGTTTATCTCTTCCATTGAAGGACCCTTCCTGTCTAAATCTTGCTGTTAAAAGTAAGCCTCTAAAAGCTACTGAAAAGCAGGACAACTGCCTTTGTGAAAAGCTCTGTTTTTAGTGCCTAGTGCCTTGATGTCTTTTCGATTCTTTCAAAGAAGGCTTCCTTCTGAAATGAACCCCCATAGGCTTGAGAAAGGCTTAAAATTAGCAAATCATTCCAGAGTTTAACCATTATTCACCAAAGAATGTGGGCGAACATTTTTTTACTTGATCGGTGTTGTATGGTTCCTAAGATGCAGACACATACAGTATGACTTTTTTGGACAGTAATTACTATGGAAAGTAATACGTGTTTTGATATAATAACCTCTTGTAGCACAGCCAAGAAAATGGTCCATAAAACCAGTTTTATCACTGAGATAACAGAGTTGGAAGGGATCTGGGAGGTCTTCTAGTCTGACCCCCTTTCAACCAGGAGACCCTCTACCATTACTAGCTGCTCAGAATGTTCTGATGGAACTTTTAAGTGGAAAGATTCCACAATTTGGTCACCCAGAGCCCAGAACACAGCATGTGAGATACATTGAAAGAGTTTTCTTTACGGAAAGTATCACGAAGCTATTTTGACACGTGTTTTGTTTTTGGTTACTTTTATATTTTCCATTCATGGTTTTGTATTTTTTTGTTTAATACGTCAAGCAGAACAAAGCCACGGATTAACAAAAATGTAAAAGGCACAATCGCGGTATTTATAGCCTGGATATGTAGAAAGAATTGTAATATATTCTGAAAATAAATAAATAAATATATTGTATAATGAAAGCCGAGTGGAACGTATCCTTGAGTTCGCTGGATATTTGGGCTCCTCGTTTTTAAAAACGGGGCTGGTTCAAATGTTCACATTTTTGAAGCCGAGATGGCGCAGTGGTTAGGGTGCAGTACTGCAGGCCACTTCAGCTGACTGTTATCTGCAGTTCAGCGGTTCAAATCTCACCGCCTCAAGGTTGACTCAGCCTTCCATCCTTCCGAGGTGGGTGAAATGAGGACCCAGACTGTGGGGGCGATATGCTGACTCTGTAAATCGCTTAGAGAGGGCTGAAAGCCCTATGAAGCGGTATATAAGTCTAACTGCTAACTGCTAACTGCTAACTGTGGGGACTGTCAGTCATCCAGATCATGGTTTGTCTCAAAGGTGTTTTTTCTTTTCTTTTAAGTTCTTATTTTACATACATAAACACATCAACAAGAACAAACACATGACTTAAGGCAACATAGGAACGTGAAGTTCCATCATATATCAT